TGATGGAACGATTTATGAGCCTTGAACATAATAAAGTGTTAACGGAACGAGTTATTAAGGTAATCTGAATGCGCATAAGTTAATAAAAGCTCGTTGCACTTTCGTTATGTGGCAGCAGCGACGATTTGCATTGGAGCCGCCAGGTCGCTGGCGACTTGCGTCTAAGGTTGCATAGGCTCCGTTGCGGGACGCACACACACACACACACCAAAGATGTCGAAAAATATAACATAAAACGACCACACGTATGTCTCCCATGCCGCGCAGCAGGACGCCCAGGCCGGCATCAGCTCCAGAGGGCGACGGGCGGGACAACAAAACACAAACGCCGTGTCTTGTGAGCAGAACAATCAATAAATTTGAACACGTGAGCGGGACGCGAATGCGGACGGCAACAACAACAGCAACAACAACAAAAACAACAACAACGAGCACAGCGCGATAAGTGATCGCCGTGTCGACTGATTGCCCCAAACAACAACAACAACAAAATTCATCTCGTTTTTTTTTGCAGTTCAAGCCATTTTGGGAACTGAAGCACTTGGTAACATGGAACAGGAAGTTATTAGTTGTTATGAATAGTTTAGTCACTAATTTAATGGATAGCGAAATTGTTTGTTGTGCTATTAAACAAAGTTAATGATTTATTCACGCACACGCGCGCGTTAATGTAAAACTAGTCGGGAGTGCCCGACTAGAAAATAAACTGTACACTTTATGTGGGAAGCTATAGTAAAGTGAGAAAGAATAAGAATAAGAATAAGAATAAGAATAAGAATAAGAATAAGAATAAGAATAAGAATAAGAATAAGAATAAGAATAAGAATAAGAATAAGAATAAGAATAAGAATAAGAATAAGAATAAGAATAAGAATAAGAATAGAATAAGAATAAGAATAAGAATAAGAATAAGAATAAGAATAAGAATAAGAATAAGAATAAGAATAAGAATAAGAATAAGAATAAGAATAAGAATAAGAATAAGAATAAGAATAAGAATAAGAATAAGAATAAGAATAAGAATAAGAATAAGAATAAGAATAAGAATAAGAATAAGATAAGAATAAGAATAAGAATAAGAATAAGAATAAGAATAAGAATAAGAATAAGAATAAGAATAAGAATAAGAATAAGAATAAGAATAAGAATAAGAATAAGAATAAGAATAAGAATAAGAATAAGAATAAGAATAAGAATAAGAATAAGAATAAGAATAAGAATAAGAATAAGAATAAGAATAAGAATAAGAATAAGAATAAGAATAAGAATAAGAATAAGAATAAGAATAAGAATAAGAATAAGAATAAGAATAAGAATAAGAATAAGAATAAGAATAAGAATAAGAATAAGAATAAGAATAAGAATTAGAGATGATAAGAGTTAATAATATTTATTCGGGAACTAGAAGATCTAGACAGAAAACGTCTTATATCAGGTTTCGTAAGGTTTCTCAGGCGCCAAAAAGTAGACTATGCTCGTAGAAGAAATAAACCTGGATCGGCTGACAGTTGACATGATTAGATATTTGCTGGTGGGTTTTGGGAACTTGCCACTAGGCAGCTCAATAACAATTCCCGAAATTATACCATGCTGTTGTATCGCCATCATCCATCGTAAGAGGCGATCTGCGTGCCGCTGTGGGGCCGTATAAATTATAACGCCTCGAGCCGGCCAACACCTCACGATATCGGCGCACCGGAGTGCGCGCCATGTGAAGCTCCATTAGCTCCCAGTCGTTGATGTCCTGGAAGACAGAGCGTAGCATGTGCATGCGTCCCAGTAGCTCCGTCTCACGAAGACCCTCGTATTTGCGTCCGGTGCGTGATCGAAAGGATTTGTAGACCTCGCTTTGATGTTTCGTCTGCGTCGCCGTTTGCAGTTCCTTGCGATAGAGCGCTCGAATCCCTCGACCCAAATGGCGAATATGCTCGAAATCGCGTATGTTCAAAGCGACCAAAGCGATGGCATCCAGATTGAGCAGCTTATGTCCATCGATATAGTTCTGCCTGAAGGTTTCCTGTGAAAACATTCAAGCTGAACGATTTGCAGACGCCACATCAGTAGCCAACCGACCTCGTACTCCGGATAGCCGAATTCGCGCAGCCACTCGGCAACATCGTTTATGCTCCACTTGAAGACTTCAGTGCGTGCCTGGGCGTCCACCACAGCGGCGCACAGATTGAACAGAGAGTCTGGCGTGGCTCGAAAGGAGAGCGGCACATCATGCTTGTCGTACTCCACATCGGGATACATATAGCTCGGATAACGAAATGTGAAATCCTGTTCCTCATCGCCATCAGCTGGTTCGCTGATGCTGAGACTTTCCATATGGAAATTGCGACGTAATTGCCGCGTCGATATCGACGACGAGGACGATGTTGACAACGATGACGACGCAGATGTTGACGACGACGACTCCATTCGAGCGGTTGACACGTACTGTAACCTAGCTAACCCAAATTTAGTTGCCCCAAGTCAATTTGATTGCGGTTTCAGAATATCCTGTTCGTGTTTGTTTACATTGCTTGGTTGCGTTTTTTCTCTACTCTGTTGTGAGGGGCGTTGCAACTTCTTTGTGAGCTTTCAGAGCCATATTTGCAAAATGATGATGATATCATGGTATTATTTTGTAAATATTTAGTTACAGAGAAAAGTTAGAAAAACTGGCTCATTCGTCAAGTCAAAAACTAATCACTTTTTTAAGTTATCATTTAAACTTTTATTGTCATTTTTAGAAGAAGAAAGGTATGTGGATATCTTTTGAATAATATTGTTATTTCCAGAAAAAGAAGGAGGCAGTCCAGGCTTGTGAAAGAGGAAGTCCAGGCTTGTGAATTATCTTGCGGATGTAGTATTTTCTAAAAATGTTTGGTATATGGCTAAATTGCTTATAACTAAAGGAATAGTAATATTTTTGACATTTTTTTTTTTTTTTTTCAAATCAAATTTCAAGCTGGCCGGATAAAGGTCTAGTTGGTCATAACAACAAAGTAAAAACACCTAGAGTGCACAGGTTATCCATATAACTAATATTTAGCCACATTTTTAATTATATTCTTAGAAAATAACGCAGAAATATTTTTGGGATATTTAACATTTGCTAGCATGAGTAATGCGTCCTTATTTTCTATGCTTTTTCTTGAGTTAATTTCCAAAGGTTCATTTAAAGGTCAACACTCAGAGTCCTCATGTTTTCTGAATAGCTATTATATATCTCTATATTTTCATTATATTTTTAGAATATAAATCCCAAAATGTGTTAGGGTATTCAAGATTTGCCAGCTTGCTTAATGTGTCCTTTTTTTCTATACCTTTTCCTTGATTGCATTTGCATATTCGTTGATTTTTTTTCGGGGTCAATTGGATGTTTGTATGGGGTCGTTGGTGTTTGGCGCCGCAGTACCGTCACGCCAGGATTTCGATACTCAAAACCATTTCCATTTTGCTTAAGCGATTTTAGGAGAATATATATTTTGGGGCAGGTCACAAAGTTTGCTTGCGATTATTTAATGGGTCACACAAATTTTAAAGGTACATGCAACAAAATGCTTGTGTATTGGTTCCACGAATGCGGCTAGATTTATGGCTCTACATGGCGCTCGGCACCGTTACCCACTTTATTAACAGGCCAACAGGCAGACAACATGGAATTATGTTCTGCGGCACAACATTCGCCCAGAGATCACTCAATTTCCAGACAATTTGGCCAGCACATGCTCGTGCCCATGAGCTGGAGAGAGATAAAACATTGTCGGCGATAGCGTCTATAGCTCCGCCCACTTGAATGGAACGCTCGCATTGGCCAGCAGCTGCCATGCTGCCGCTCCATAAGTTGTAGGCGCTAGGCAGCTGTGTTCGTGTGTGTGTGTTGTGTGTGTGCTGACTTAGTTCATGGTGTGCGTGCGGAGTAAGGCAGCATATGGAGAAATCGGTAAACAAATCTCAATAGCGATCAACGAACGATCTCTGGCTGAGCTAATGACACAGCGTTCTGTTTGTATGTAAACAACCAAACCGTGTAGAGCAAGTTTCCCATGTGGACAACAGTGGAACAAATCTGCATAAAATGTGTGAAGCTAACGAGTAGCATATAGCTAAAGATAAGACAGAGTATTAACCAAGAGCTAAGGCCAAAAAAAAAAATTAAAAAAAAAATAATTATATATAAGTTAAATATACGAAACTGAGCCAAGTTTTCTGATGTGCTTCATGATAGAAAATGCATGAATTGTATTGTTTCTGCTATCCTATTGTCAACTTCTAAACTTGTGCTCAATTGTGGTAACGAAACTTGAAATCAGTTAATTGGTCTAATTAATTAATTAAGGACGAAAACAATAAACAATATTAATTGTTAATTGTAACATATTGTTACATTCGATCTAATAGATATAAAGCTGGCAACACTGATAATTTATCCTCTTGGTTAATATTAACAGCCTGTTAAATCAACAAAACCAAATGTAAATGGTCTGTTAATATTAACAGCGACATTAGAAATCGCAAAATGGATTAGCAAAAGATCAATAATTAACTTTTTAATCTACATTTTTTGAATAATTAATTTTAAATATAAATAATAATTTTATACTTATGCAAACTACACAATTTGTAAATAATAATTTGTATTCTTATAAGTTCCATTGAAACAGAAAACATTCGCTTTAAAGCCTTCTGCACCTGTTTTGTCATAATGCGACCCACTGTAACGATCCACACACAATCACTGAGATTTACTTGAACACAATATTTATTCGTATGCGCCCAAAGACAATCGATGATCGGTGCTGGGATTTGCTCCCGGGCCGGTCCATTCAGTTCCGTGTGGGTTGTCTTAGCCAACGGTTGGAGTTGAATGCGTCTGCCCTTCTACCCTAAAAAAAATTTATGCGATCAGTGTCTTTTGAAGCGACGGTGTTTTTCTTGTGACATGATCGTTAATTTATGTTGATCCCAATCGCCAGTGTGACCAGCTGCGTAAACTGCCAAACAATTGTGCAATGTTACTACACGAAAGTGCCAACATGGAACAAAGTGTGCCCGAGAATCTCAGCACGCATGTGTTTAACGACAACTGTGAAATGAAGTTGCAAGCGCCTTGCCACGATCCCGATCAAGCGGATAGTGAGAACGGTTCCAATTCCAACAGTGATTTGCCCACCAAAGAATCAATCGCGAGTTCGAGTCCTGCGACCAGTGTGACCAGCCCGAGCCCGGCGCTCAGCAGCAGCAACAGCACAACCAAAGTGAAACTTAGTTTCAGTGTCGATCGTTTGTTAAGCGCAGAGCGCATCGAACCCTTGCCCAGCCCAAGCCCAAGCCAAACCCCAAATCCTACGTCCTCAAGGCAATGTTGTGATGGCAGTGTCTATGCCTGCTGTACATTTCCCAGCTGCTTTGCCCAGCCCACCGAAGCGGCCAAGCACCCGCCATTGTCTGCTTCACAAGGACTGACCAATACACATCATGGCAGCTATGCCTATGCGGGCATGGAAAAGTTCTATCCGGGCTTATATATGGATTACAAGTCCGTGCTGAGACCCACGCCCATACGTGCTGCTGAGCATGGTAAGAACGAGCGCCAATTATATAATATTATTACTTATATTGCAAAGATTAGAAATAACGGAAGAAATGCTTCGGGCAATCTTAAAATAAGTCAACAAAAACTTGAAACTAAAATCTATTATTTTTAAAATAATGTCCTAATAATGTCCTTCTTTCAAAAACTTAAAACTTAACTCTAAAATTGTTTAATAATTTCGTAATGTCTTTCTCTCAGAATCTACTTTATTAATAATCGAATTTCATTCTATTTAATATAAATATGCAAATATGAAAGAAGCAAATGATCTTTGAATATTATTTCCAATATTCTTAAAGTTTGCCTCTGCAATATCTATCAAAGCTCAACATCCTCTAATTGAATTTTTACAAGAACTTTTGCAAAACAATCCTCAGAGACGAGACGATCAAAAAGATCGGTTTGAGAACTTTACCCATTTGCCAATCAAAATCCGACACATTCTTTGCTTTCCACCGATTATAAACTGCAAATGCAATCGCATTGTAAAATAAAAGATAGAAAATGTAAATTCCGGGAAATATCTTGAAACACTTTTTGGTCTCAACCAAATGGCTGGGGTCATAAATCGTGCGTTTTTATTGGAATTATTAGTTGATCTGTGGCCATATTGTGCAATATTATTATTGTAGCCAACTGTTTGTGGCCTGTTCTTGACGAAAACAATGCGTTTGTTGAAATCGACAAATAGATATCTGCTCTACACTCGACTCGTCGACTCGTATTTACGTTACTTCCTGCTGTTTTGTATATCTGGGGACGACTCATGGACTGCCTGCCAGCCTGTGCACTTTGATCTTGTTTATATGAAAAATAGTGAGAAATATATTTTGTATATTGTTGTGAATTGGATTTGTATTGTTCAACTTGTTGTCTTGACTGCTGCCCTTTTTCATTTTCGGCTTCGGCCAACTCTTTTGTTTTATATACAATTCTTATCAAGAGGGTGTTAAATAGCTGAGAGCCCCCAATCGATTCAAGCGTTGAAGGCTGCGCCCGGAAGTCTACGCAATACAATGACATTATATTGCCCAAGATTGTGAAGGAAGAGATGCCATAAATAAATTAAAACGCTTCTAAATTATTTTATAAACATCATCAACGAACTCTGAGCTCTTTGGTATGCTACGTTTTTGCATTTTCATTGCAATTTCAATTTTATAATTTATTAACAATGAGAGTGCTATAGTCGGGTATATCCGACCTAGCAGATACCCTGAACGCCCTTTGCTAGAACGCACAAATATTCTGAACTCGAATTCAAGCCGAAGCCTGCGCACTTTATGCAGCGACTGCGCTTCTTCTAACCTTAGTCCTTGAGAAATGCAGTCTTTAGTAACTTCGGTGTTTATAGTCCGATCTGTTTAATATTATTAGGGCTTACGTCTGACATACAAAAGTGTGTAAACCCAAAAACACAAGGCTCTGCATTTGAAAAGAGTTTATTTGTTTTGGGCAATGAGAGATTTAGCTAAAAAGTGAAAAATGTTATATCCGTGCAATAAATCAATAAATCGATATTTATCGATACCAATAGAGAGAACATATTGAACAAATTATTAAATGTTTATTGCAAGAATATGTTTCAGAAGTCAAGCCTCTAGGTTTTACATCTGTCGACTCGACGATCATGTCGAATCAACTCGTTCTCCTGACCAATAATAAATCTAATTTACAGGGTCGAAGATGATTCCTTCCGTCCAAAAAAAGCTTCTCTTTATACGATTTTAAATGTAATACAAATTGAATGGAAAATATCATAAATGAATGCCCAAAAATATCAATATATTAAGTTTCAACAAAAAACTTCCTGGCTATTCCATTACAGACTGCCTTAAACACGTCGATTTGATACATTCATGTCAGAACCAGAAATGATATCATTCGACAGCATTTTTAACAAATTTAGCGCCTTAATTTCCTTTGAAAACGGCAAACAAATTAGCGCCACATCAAAATTAATTTGCCAGCCCATCAATTCAATGTGAACATTTATGGAAATTATTATCAATATTAAATGATTCTTAAACACATTAAGCACACACACAACAACAATGTTAGGAGGGCGAAAATGAAATGCCAATTAGCACGTGGCATTAAATTCGACATTTCCTCAATCAGCAGCAAAAAAAAAAAAAAGCCGACAAGAGTTTGAAGTGTTTCATCAATCCTGCGCTACATTAAATAAATTAAATTCAAAAGAACAAAAACCAAATTAACAACAATTTATGAACAAATTAAGAATCAGTCTTAAAAATAAACTGCCCGCCACAAGAGCAGCACATTCAATTTGTAAAAACGATGGAAAACCGATTGAAGCGAATTTGTTTATTTGCTTGAGCAATTGGGGCCCCCGTCATTCAGGGGGCAGCCAATCCATCCAAGTATAATGAATTGTTCCGTTCTGCCAAGAGTTTTTTAGCGTTTCTTAACTATGGCCATAAGGAGCTGAATTTTCTCTGATAGATTGGGGCGCCGCTGGGCCAACTACTGAGGCTGCCGTTTAAGTTAATGACATGCAGCATTCTCCAAACTAACTGACTGACTGACTGACTGAAGAACTGGCTAGCTGACTGACTGACTGACTGACTGACTGACTGACTGATTGTAGCTATGCGGTATTTTTAGGGGCCAAGCGAGGCCAACTATTTACACAGCCACCCACTGTGGTGGCCCAAGCCAGAGCCAGCTACCTGTGGTGCCAAAGTTATTTAGCCAAGTGCGTAGAGACTGATCAGCCAGAGAGAGAGAGTGAGAGGGTGGGAGAGAGAGGAGGCGAGGTGAAGCTTTCGGGACCTGCTCTGTGCATTCATTTGTGATGGATTGATCGCATCGCATCGCACATCATAAAAAACGATTGCCCCAACCGCAGTCACAGTTTCATGCAGCTCCAGGTTCCAAATTCGCCCTCTCTCTCTCTCTCTCTCTCACTCTCTCTTTCTCCCCTTCTCGCTTTCTCGCTCTCTGCCAACTATTTGTTGCTGTTGCTGCATGGGTGTTGATTAGTTTGTTTGATTGTTTTTTCTGGCTGCCTGGCGATCGATCGATCGATCGATCGATGGATTGTTGAAGATCTTCTTTAGTTATTTTCTTTTTTTGTTGTTTCCATGTTTTTGTTCTTCTTGTTTCAGTGCTTATTTATGAATCGTTTGCCTGATGCTGCGGGTCGGGGCCAATAATTTGGCGCCGCCTGCCTAATTAATTTACAATTTATATGTTAATCCAATTGCTTGTGTCTTTCAGCTCGCACAATGTGCATGTGTTGCTCGTATTTAACATGCTGCGTTGAAGCCAACTTTTGTCATATTAGGCCCTATTCCCAGCAGCAGGAGCGCTTTCACTTGCCGCGCGCAGCAGATGATCATCTGCAGATCCCCAATAACTGTTATCGTTTAGATGTTTTATATATTATATGCGCTTTATATAAGTTGTCTTGGGTTCAGAGCGATTGCCACACATCATTTTAATCAGTTATCTACATATTTTTATTGAATATTCATTTGGATCGGTTCAAGATCGCGATTAGGGAATTTTATTTTTGATAATCGCCAATTGCTCGTTTTTTGATTTGTTTTTTGCCATGGAACATATAAAAGAATATAATACTGATCAAGATAACAAATTATACAAATTTAACTATTATTGTCTACTAATTTGTTAAATTTGCATAAGCTACGTTGGGTTTTAATCTGCTTCTCAATTGAAATTATCAAAATATTTCATATTGGGAGTATATATTTCCCCATATCTCCTATAATTTTTCTAATATCGATAAATATTGATGTTGAGACATGGTTTTTATATTTTATAACGCATACAAATTGCAAATATTTCACTCTTTGGAAACCCATCTCAATGCTTCCAAAAACTAAATGCATAATTTATTCTTAAAGGTAAAGTCCTGGAGTTTGTAGACACACAAGCTTCATAAAGATGCAGATTTAAAACCCAAGGTCCATAAAAATTGCATTTCTTGTAATGTGGAACTAATGTGTTATTTGTATAGAAGGAACCAAGAATGTATATATGGCATTGAATTCAGGACATCTCCTAGAGATTCCCGCTTTTTTCTTACGTTTACTCAAAAGTATTTTTCTTACGAACTCATTTATCAGGCCATTTTGAAAGCGCTTTATAATACCAGAGAAGGCACTCCAGTTTGCATATACTCCATGCATATTTACTCAGTTCATTCTCATTGCATCAGGGTCAGGGATCTTTTTAGCTGTTGCACCTGCTGTTCAGACGCGCACATGGCTCAAAGATAATCCATAACTCGTTCGTTTCTCTTATTGGACCACAATGTGGCAATTATTCGCCTTGCACTCGAAATGCAATCAAGTGTTTACTCGAAATATGTGAACTCACAAAATATGCACAAGCCCATAAATACAATTCGTAGAGTGCAAATAAATCGAAACAATTTAAAGCAGGTCATAAATTTGCTAATAGCCACAAATATGCAGGATGCGGATGCTGGCCAGACCCCAAGCTGATCATTGATTTAAGATGCGCCCCGAAATGATCACAACTCATTAAGATATTTACAGAGGTTCTTTACAAATGCATCCCATGTGCGAGACTCGGCAATTAAGGCGCGCTGAGGTGTTGAAAATCAATGAAAACTCATTATAAGAAATCGCCGACGGTTGACATAAGCCAAATGCCATCCATTAAGATGAAGGCGTGCGCGTTATTGCACTTGCAGATGCAGATACAATTTAGATGCAGATACAGATACATTTACAGATACAGAGATACAATTGTAGCGCATTTCCGTTGTAGTGTAAATACACATAAGAGCGCTACGAGTTTTGAGTAAATAAAATGCGCCATGAAAAATAATTAGACGCATGCCGCGCGCACAAACAAATTGGAAATCCATTTACGCACCGAAATAACCATGCGCACAGTTTATAAAAAACCAATAAAAATGCATAAACTAGTTTAAGCAATGCCACAAAAAATAAAACAAAACTAAAACAGAAGAAATAACATCTATGAACGACACGCCGAATTGTTAATACTCTCGTAGAGATACGGCTTACTGGAAGTTAATAATTGCTTTATTTGAGAAAAGTTTTCAATACCAAAATTTGACATTTGCGACTGATTCTGTTTATAGAGCTTTATGATATAGTTGATCCAAAGTTGATCAGATTTGGTTCATATAAAAGGAGCATAGTAAGACTTGGTCTAGAAAATCTAAAAGTTTTTCATACAAGAACTAGATTTATGACCGATAATTCTAATGCGGACTATATGAAATAGTATTTCGATCCACCCGATCCCAATATATGTATTGCCTGCAACAGAAAAGCGAATCTAGACAGAGTTTAATGAGAGCTTCAAGACGAGAGTCTAGTTTGCACAGACTATATTGACTCGGCTAAATGATACCGATCAAGTACATATATATATATATTATGGGATCGTCAAAATCTTCCTTTGCATGACAAAATCACAATACCCTCTAGTAGCGTATACAAACTGTATAAGCTAATAAGTTGTTCTGCAGAGCGCATATTTAAAAAACATTTAGCTGCACAATCCTCACACTTGGCTCCAGCTCCCAGCTTCCCAGCTTCCCAGCTTCCCGCTACTGGGCACATCTCGTGCCCCATGTCGTGCTCGATTACCCCAAATAATTTTTGGTCCGCTGAGAGGTATTTGCTTATGTGTGTTGCTTTTGTTGCTGTTGTTTTGGTTGTTGGCTTTGGCGCTTTGGTGTAAACAGTTTGTTTACCCGCAACGCTGATTATTTCCAATTAAGTGAAAATTTTATTATAAACAAACTCATTTAAATATTTTCAACGTGCGTTTTCATTGAAAATAATTTACTCAAGCATTTTTGTGAAATGTTCATTCCGTTTTTTTTTTTTTGGAAAATTGTGTTTTAATATTTTTCTTATGATTAGGGAAATGCGTAAATTGTATTGCAAAATATGTACAAATTTATAATTTTGCGCCGGCGGATATAAGCTTATGCAGGAGGATGTTCGATGCTTAGTTGTAAAGACAAATAAAGTTTGGTTTTGGGGTTGAGGCATTTCCTGAAGCACGGACAATCGAAGAACACCAAAAAAATAAATATGCTAAGCAGACCAATAAAAATGATAATTGGCGATCTGATAAAATTATTTTTAAATAAATTGAATTGAAATTGGCAGCAGCAGTAACAAGATCGTCACCAGAGCATCGCCCTTCTATGCGATTCTTATATTACTTTAGATTTAAAAGAGCTTTACTCAGAGTATTTTATATGTTATTGTATGTATATGAATGCGGTTAAGGGCAAATCAGATTGGGACATATCTAAGTTAAACACTCTCAACAATAACTAGTTTTGATTTTATATTTGGAATACAATGATTCTTTTCCTAAATCCATAGCAACAACATTTCCAACGTTGGCAACAAACGCACTTATGCGTTTCCATCAGCAGCAGCAGCAACATCATCAGCAGCAGCAGCAGCAACAGCAACACCAACAGCAACAACAACAACAACAACATAAGGCAGCAACATTGTTGCACAGCTCAACATCGACGGCTGCGCTGCTGGCGCCGCTGAACAGCCTAAAGACGCTGCAGTTAACGCAGCAGCAACGTTTTCTGGCCAAGACGTCGCAGCAGCAATTGCTGGACATGCCCAGCACAGCAACAGGTGCCGCAAGCACAATACAAAATGGCGCTCACAGCAGCAACAGCAACAACAACAACAACAACAGCAGCAACGGCGGCAGCAACAACAACAACAACAACAATGGCAAACGCAAGCGTTCCTGGTCACGTGCCGTCTTCACAAATCTGCAGCGAAAAGGACTCGAGATACAATTCCAGCAACAGAAATACATAACAAAACCAGATCGACGCAAATTGGCCGCACGGCTGAATCTGACCGATGCACAGGTGAGTTGCGGCCAGTGTTGCAAACTGCCGCTGCAAAAAAGTAGCCGAATTCAATAGCAAATATAGCTTAAAAATGGCTGAATTAAGTTTCTGATAGCTAAAATCAGCCAAAATAACTGAATTTAATGTCAAAAATAATTTGAAATAAATGAATTGGGGTTTAGATAGCAAAAACAAGCTTTTAAACGGATTTTGTTTAAATACAGCTTCAAATAGCTGAATTAAGTTTCTGATAGCTAAAACTAGCGAAAATAGCTAAATGAATATCTCAGTCCGTGCTTAAAATAGATGAATTATTTTTATGATAGCTAAAATTAGCTAAAATAACTGAGACCAATAATAATTAGGCTTATTATAGCTAAAATGTGCTACATTATCTACTTTCAATAGCTTTAGATAGCTGAATCTAATTTCAAATTTAGCTAAAAATAGCAGAATTAGGTTAATGTTAGTTAAAACAGCCGAATCCAATGTCAAAATTATGTTTGTGATAGCTAAAATTGGTGAATACCATGTCAAAAACAATTAAAAATAGCAGAATTAGGTTTCTGATAGCTTAAATAGCTAAATCCAATGTGAAAAGCAGCTAAAAAATAGGTGAATTTTTTTCTGATATATGAAATACATGAACCTATTTTCAAATATAGCAAACAAAGCTGAATAAAGCTTCTAATTGATTAAATTAGCTTAAATCAAAAGTACAAAACAGCTAAAACTAGAGGAATAATGTTTCTGATATTTGAAATTTGCTAAATTTCCAGCTGATGAGCAAAATTCGGCTATAAAATAGTTACTCAGATAACCAAAATTAGTGAAATCTCTCGATTTACAGGTCAAGGTGTGGTTCCAAAATCGGCGCATGAAATGGCGACACACGCGCGAGAATCTCAAGAGCGGTCATGAGAAGCAGCCGCCACAGCAAATGGGCGCCGGCAGCAGCAGCACGTCCAAGACAATGATGGTCACGTCTGCTGTGGGCGCCACTCGCTCCCATGAGGTGTTGGACTACAGCTCCGACAGCTGTTCCAGTGTGGAGCTCAGCGAACGAGCCGACGACGATGATGATAACATTGAAATCGATGTAGTCGAGTAGGCGAGTCAAATCGTATATTGATTAGTTATATAGTTTGTTGTTCACGATCAAATTTAGATTTAGAATAAGATATATAGACGTCTATTTTTTTGGTGACTCATTTAGCAGCGTAATTAATTTATATAAAGCACGAATTTTATTTATTGAAAACTTAAAAAACTATAAATATTTAATGACTAATAAATGTTATATGTACAACAATCTTTTACTGCAAATATTTGTTTAACTGCTTGAGAGAAAGGTTAATCGACGAATAAATTGATTGAGTTTTTTTTACTAAGTCAGTTTTTTGGAAATGCCAATGTCGATGTGTTGCCAATTGTAGAACTCTAAATTTATTCTTTCTTATCTGCCTGTCAAAGCTAAGAAGACAGTTTAACTGCCTGCTAAAATTTAAAGTAGAAGTTAAAGAGCAGAATTTACAGAGACAGTAATTTGGTGAGAGGATCAAAAATTAAACTCAATTTACCCTAATACATCTGGAATTAACTGTAACTGGAACAAAGACGCGAACCAGTTTTGAATCCAACCGGTTCTGGTTAGGAACTTCATTTAAAACGTTTATCGAGTTTAAGGCAGAGTTCTAGTAACTAAAGTTTGGACAGTTTTTTAATTATTTATTCTGATAATATTCCATATTTAACGATTTTCTAATTCAAATACCTTATAAAAATAAGCTGAATCTGGAATAAACTCCTACTGAATCAAAGACGTGAACCAGTTTTGAATCCAACCGATTCTTAAAATGAATTTAATTGTAACCGTTCTGTGAGCACAAAAATGTTGAGATAATAGTAAGATCAAACCATATTTGAAAAAGAAAAGAAAGGAAATTTCACTGAATTCTCGAATCCAAAATTGGCATAGTTTTAACTTTATGCGAAATATATTTTCAGCAATTTTCGCTAAATTGTTTCAAACTAAAGCCTGGATTCATATGGATATGGGAAACACGAACCAAGTGAAAGGCAAGGCATTAATTTTACCTTTTCCTGTCCTGCTTAGAGCGCAGAGAAAAAGCAGCTGAGCGTGCTTTCCTTTTCAGTAAGAATTAAAGAACACCCAACTTAATAATTGAACAATTGTGAAACGTGGCTGACTTAATTGTTTCACTTTTAATTGGCAAAAACTATTTAAGTGCTGCATAAAATAATTATAATTTCTGTTCAAACAATCAAATGAATTGAATAGTTGAAGCTAATGATCAGCAATAATCCATAATTCAAATGGTCTGAACAAGTACAACACATATTTAGAAGAAAAAACATTCGTGCATTAATTGATAATAAACCAATATATTTAAAAATTCTCTTAGCACTCTCTCTTTGCACTCTTACTGCGCTCACGGAATAAACAACAAGAACGCGCAATGCCATTTTCTTATAATTTTTTATTTTCTTTCTTTTTTTTTTTGTTGCTACACATAAACAACCGAAAATTTAATTAAAGCTATACCGCTGCGATCAGCAGAACTCGAAACTGCGACGAGGCCTTCTAATCTACAGAATGATAAAACCCGATACCGACGACGAACAGTTGGTCAAGCGCGGGGCATCAGCCGGAGCGGAGCCAGAGAGACAATTAGGCAAACAGTGAGCGCAAATTATTGACGCACGACATTGAAAATTTACTTCAATTCGTAATAATATTATTGTTATACACTAACAAAATGGATATTATCCGTTGGTAAGTGTGCTTGTGATGCAAGTATAAACAATAATAACAAGAGATGGGTGAGAAGTCATTTAAGTGATATTTTTAGGTGAAAGAATCAACTAAAATTATTTTGGCGAAAATTTAAAATTTTAAACAGAAAACAAACCATGTTTCCCTCTGAAAATATATATAAATACAACAAACAACAGTTGAGAGTAGTTAAATCTTTTTCAAGAATTTTCATTGTTTGATTTGAATAACTTAAAATATATATATATTAATTATATGTAGTTATCATTCAAACTAAATAATTATAAGAAATATATTTTAAAAGCTTAAGACATAAGAAAATATCAAAAACTAAAATTTTGCCTAAACCCGCAAATTTGTAAAGTTGCTTCAATATCTACAACTGAATATTAAGAATTTAAAAATTTTAAAATACCAAAAATAAAGTCAGCTTATATTCAGTAAGGGTATTCAATAAGCGACTTGCCCAGCTTTGGGTTTTTCTAGTGGTGTTTTTCTAGAGTTTCGTTTGTTCAGTTTGTTGAGGCTAAGCGTTGTGAACGGTTGAAATTTCATTTACTGAACGCGCGGCAATGTGACGGCTTAATTATAGAGCCATAAGCGTTATAGACGAACGCAGTCGCAGCTGAGAACTACGTCGAAATTGCCGGGCAACATGGGTAATGTGCAAACGCGTCAGCTGGAGTCGCGCAATGCGACAAATAGACGCAGCAGTAAGTGATATAAGCGTTAGAAATGTTGTTCAGATAAGTATATTGCCACACTTTCTATAACTAGGCATACTGTGGAACTTTCGGTATCCCCAAGCCACCAGGCGACGCGATGATGTCGCAATGATCATACACAACTCCAGGCTGAGCATTGGCGAGTGGCTAAATCTGCTGGAGCTGCAGCAATATGAAGGTCAGTTTGCTCAGCAGTTTTTTGCTTTTGCACAATAACTCACGTGTCACATCCGCTCGAGCAGGCAATCTGAAAATGTACGCCACAGTCAATGATGTCGGAGACATAACCGATAGAGACCTAAAGCGTTTGGGCATACGCAGCATGTCGCATCGCCAGAAAATGCTCAACAGTCTGCTGGGCGTGCGGGCCAAGCGTAGGCAGTCCATGAATCTGGAAGGTGAGCGTAGCTGATAATCCACGAGCGAAACTAATCAAGCTAATCTGAACCAGCGCTGAGAAGTGCGCCCTGTGCGGTGCCGCGTCGCAAGAGCTCCTGTCCAATGGTTTATCTAGATGCTGATAATATGGCTGGCAGTAATGATAGCGGTGGAGCAGCCGTGATTACCACCAAAAGTGGCAAGGTCTTAAAACAATTGACATTCGATGAGACAACAACAATGTGAGTACAGGCCAGAGAATCGACTAGATAAGACTAAATTTATGCAAATATATGGTAAAGGCAATAATTGAAAGAAGTGAGTATAATTCTAGAAAACTTGAGTTCAATTCTCTAAGAAATCTTGCGCATTTCCTGCTAAGCTTAACCCACTTTTCTTTTTGCTTGTTGGTTAAGGATATTCCATGTTTTACTTTAGCAAGTGTTGAGTCTTAAAAATTTCCTAGCTGTGCACTAATGTGCCTTTTTCCCAGCTGATTCAGCTTAAAGAAGATTTCTGAGTCCACAGTTCTTATAAACATTATTTAATTTAAATCAGACAGTTCTCTTGGCCTAACTAAATTTTAAATATTTTTCTTTTCAATTTGGACGGTCATAGAAAATTTTGATTTCCTTACGTTCAGACATCCATTTGAAATGTAACGAATTTTTAGACAAGTTCCACTGCAATCACATTCTGACATTCACAATACGCTGCCAGCCCGCATATTCCTATTCCTTACCTAACAACAACCACTCCTTGAGCCCCCTGCAAAAGAATAATTAATTTCAATAACAAATACTCTGCGCATGCCCCAAAAAAAATAATAAACCTTATGACGTTTGGGTCAGGCGGCATAAAAATCTTAAAAACAAAACACAAAACATTCGGTTAAAGCGAACAACCCTCACAAGGACATTCGACTTGTGCCAGGGTGGGCTTTAGCCTGGGCAGAACGCAGAGCGAATTTAGATGGCAAAGAGTGCAGACGAGGACTGCGATAAGAAAAGCCACAGTCTTATCTGTAACTAAACAAAATTAAATTTTTTAACAAAAAAAAAAAAAAGAATTATTATACTGCTAATGAAAAATAACAAAAGTTATTTTGTACGTAAACTCAAGCTCTGTGTAAGCAAAAACGAAAACTGTTAAGGCGTGTCCTGCGTAGATATTCTGTAACGATAAACCGTTCTAACCAAATGGGCGTAGCAGGTGAGTGATAACAGCTTGAAACTGATTCAACATACAAATTATATATTAATACCAAAATTTGAAAAAATTAGAATATATCTAATTGCAACCACAAATGTTAGTAAACGGTTTTTGAAGATTTTACTAGCAATAGATTAGTACATGTTTTTTTTTGCACTTGAACTTCAGACAAAAGTTCGCATATACCAAGGAACAATCCTGTGTGAGCGAATTTCCCTTTTCAATAAAAGCCCGGCCGTGGGGGCAATGAACAGAGCCACACAACATAAATTACCCATAATAAGGGAAATTTATACTCTTGCACTCACTCTCTCTCTCTCTCTCTCTCTTACGCTCTCTTTGCAGCTATGAGGAATTGAGACCGCGCTCCAAGTGCAACAGTCCGCATTGGGACAACAACGCCGACGATATGGAAAGCGGCAACAACAGCAACGTGTCCACACCCATTGCCGCCTCGCCCAATCCAAACGAGCAACAGGAGGCCATTGCGCTGAAAAAGGCACTCGAATGGGAACTAAGTCTGGATGCACGGGAATTGCGCTCGCATGCCTGGTACCACGGTGCCCTGCCACGCCAGCGTGCCGAGGAGATTGTTCAGCGAGAGGGCGATTTTCTTGTGCGGGACTGCGCCTCCCAGCCGGATAACTATGTGCTCACCTGCCGCAGCAAATCAGCTGTGTTGCATTTTGTGCTTAATAAGGTAGGAAAGAATGCCCAAACAAAGCCCCACAAATAAAAAAAAAATCCAATAATAATATTTTAAATCTTGAAAAAACGTTGACTTCTAGACTGACTTCCAAAACAAAGTGAACAATCCACAACAGCCCGTATAACATATAATATTTATCTAGGGATTTATGTTTATAATATATCCCATTTTTTAAACAATAACAGTATTTAGAAACTCACCTGTTTTCCCCAATTTTCTTGCAGCTGGTGCTACAGCCTGAGACTGTCTACGAGCGCGTGCAATATCAGTTCGAGGAGGATGCCTTTGACACGGTGCCGGATCTGATCACATTTTATGTGGGTTCTGGCAAGCCCATTTCAGCTGCCTCGGGTGCTCTGATACAGTATCCATGCAATCGCACATATCCACTCTCCTTCTATGGTCACAAGATCGTGGGCAATCAGCTGCACACACAAATGCTGGCCGGACTGCGCGGCCTCAGTCCACTGAACTCGCCCATGGGCAGCAGCAGTGCAGGTGGCTCCGCCATCTTTCGCTTTGGCCAACTAGCTGGCGATGTTCCGGCACAACAGCAGGCGACGGTGCCGGCAGCGACGCCAGCCAGTCCGCACTGCTCGCCGCCTCGGGTGCGCAGGGAGGTGCCGCCGCCCAGGCTGCCCTGCAAGAAGCAGCAGCGCTCACAGAGCTTGACACCCGCCCAGGCCATGGTTGTGTGCAACATTAACAAGCAGCAGGAGCAGCAACAGCAGCAGCAGCTCGCCGCAGCAGATGCAACCAATGGGCACGGGCTGGCGCGATTTCAGACCATTGCACGCTGTAATCCCACCATCGATATGCAGTTGCAGTCGCAACAGCTGGAGCACAAGTTCAGCACACAATCTTTGCCGCGTCCCAGCACTTCGGCGGCGCAGGCGCTGCGCCAGCAGGCTGCGGCGCGCATTTGCAATTTGGCGCGCAATTTCAGTCTAGATACGCCAGATCGCGCGCCAAGTCCGCCGCCCAAGCCACGCAAGGAGCCCATGGCCGCAGTGTTGGCATATCAGGCCAGCGGCTCGGATTCGGGCAATGGCTCAGGCGACTCGGCGCCAGGCGATGTCAGCGAACTGAGCATACAACGTGGCGGCGTCATCATCAAAAATCCTCGATACATGAGCAGTTCCGCATCCAATGGCACGCTCAAGAGTTTTACTGAATTCGATGCTTTGGCTGCCGAGGAGCAGCTCTTCACGCTGCCCATTGAGGAGTTTAAGCTGGTGAGAATTCAATGCTGTTTATTTTCATGATAACACACACACACACACACACACGCGCACAAATATGTAATTTAATTTTCTAAAACGCAACCGATTGATGTACGCGCCATTTAAAAAGTTACGGTTGTTTTACCGAGGTGTGGCCGTTTTTTTTAAGCCAACATACATTGTGAATTATTGAAGCCAGGTATTGCCAGCTTATGCGCGTCCATTTGACTATATGTAGTTGGTTAGCGTTATTTTGCTGAACCATAAGAAACAGACGACGTATTTTTCTTTGCTTTGCTGGATTTTTTTTTTTGCCAAATTATTTGTTTATAGTCTTTTATTTGATTTGTCACTTTAATTTTTTATACAGCTTCAGTTGCTTTGGCAATCTGTGTGCCCAAATATTATCTAAGTGCAAAATATCAAAATATGCTTTTGCATCTAGGTGGCAAGGTACGCGCAATAATTTAAATGTTATTGGCAACGCAATTTTGATTCGATTTTCACTTGCACAACTAATTGTAAGAATCAACTTTTTGTTTTAATAACATTCGTTTCCTTTACGCATTTCAGAGCAGCAAATTTGATTTTGAGAACTTTAGTACATTGCTGCTGCCATCGGTGGAGAACAAGCCGCTGGATGGAGATGCCCTAAACACGTTCAAGATGATGCTGCTGGAAACGGGTCCCAAGCTGCTGGCCGAGCACATAACGCGCATTGACATTGGACTATTTCTGGACGAGCCGGAAAATGAATCGGACTGTTACTTAAGCTGTTCAGGCCTGGAGCTACTGACTCTGCCACATGGCAAAGTTTTTCGCGAGGATCTTATCGAGCGAACGCAGTGCATCAAGCTAATGGTTGCCGTGACCATACTCACCTGTCAGACGGATTTGGATCGCGCCGAGCTGCTAAGCAAGTGGATACAAATTGCGGTGGAAACAAAAACAGCGCTGGGCAATCTTTTCGGTTTTTGTGCTATTATGTTGGGCTTGTGCATGCAGCAGGTGGGTTGGCTAGAATCTCGAAATGACAGTGGAACTCTAGTGTCTGCATTAATTTCGATATTTCAGATACAAAAACTTGACCAAGCCTGGCATATTCTGCGCCAAAAATATACGGACAGCGCTTTCACATTTGAGGCCAAGCTGCGCCCCACTCTAAGCAGCATGAACGAGGCCTCCAATCCGCAGGCGCCAAACACAACTGTGCCCCATGTGCTGCTCTATGCTCTGCTCATTGATAGGCCCGTGCTGGATATTATCAATCATAGCAATGTGGATGAGCGTCCTGCGCTTTATAATACCTGCATTGCGCCTTGGGAAACCAAGGCAGACGATTTTGGCATGTCCATCAACTTTCAGCATTTGGATGCATCGCGCGGCTTTCTCAAGAACTTGGATCTATATCGCAAGAATGCCAAGATTATCATGGAAGAGGCCAGCACCAGATTAGATGAACTGCTTGCAGACGCTTTTCGGTAAGTCTATATCCTATAATTTGGTCTATTCTGTTTACAGCGTTTTTTGTTTTTGGCTTTCAGCACCGAGTTTCACGTCAAGTTCCTGTGGGGCAGTTCGGGAGCCACCGCTAAGCCCGAGGATCGGCATGGAAAGCTAGAGAAGGTGCTAACACTAATGGCCGACAAATTTTGCAGCGTCAGCGCCTAATTTTGAAAACTCTAAAACAACGATATTATATGGACTCTAGTGTGTAAGCTGATAATACTTAACACAATCAAAAATTAATACTTCTAAGTCGTTGTACTAGTCCTTTAGTCCTTCTATATCCCAGCTCTCCCACAGTTTCGCTCTAACCCTCTGTAATTTCGTGCTGTTTCTACCTCAGCCTAAGTGTGTATAATTTTATACAAAAACCAAAATAGAAGCACTTTTGTTACAGTTCAAATAATTTATAAAAATAACAAAATGAAAGCATATTTAAAATTTAGTTAAGCCAAGGAAACTACTTAGTATTGTTAAAGCACTCCCTAAATTATAATTAACAATAACAATTTCAAGCTGGACGTAATCAAAATGTATTTACAACTAAATATAGTCATATGTTGATTCTCTGAGAGAGTTGGCATTATCCAATATATTGAAGCACACTACCAAAGGCATTTATAGTCTAGTACTCAACACATACATATATTCAACTAAAGAAAGTATTATACATACTATAGATTCGACAATATACACTTAATCAAACGCATCTTTGTACGCGCATAAACACATTTATATTTAAACAAGTGTAAACCATTTACTGATGATATAATATAATTTTTTGCAATTTTATAAGTGATAGTGCGGTAAACTATAATAAACAAAATAAAGGAAACATTTAAACCACTTCGAAATACATAATCACGAGTGCCTTGCAGTGCAAGAGCGATAACTGTCATAAACAAGGGCAAGGGTAAAACAATATATATTTAAGTATAATTATTGACAGTGCAAGTAGGAAAAGGACAAGAGAAAGATCAAAACAACTGCAAACAAGTCGGGTTGCAATCAAACAAAATGAGAAAAGTCTATTAAAAAAGCTCTGATTTGTAAGATTCGAAACTTACATAAGAAAGTGCAATCTGGATAAGAAGTAAAAACTATCAAGAGGATTCGAATAGAGAAAGACTTGATTCTGTTTAATATTAAACAGGAAGAGTGCAAAATATTAACAAATTTTATTGGGCTATTCGGAATTATTTATTAGATGTTTTTAAATCAGTATAGATATGCTTATTTGCAGCTACTTCAACTAATACTGAAATAACGATAATGAGACCCCACTTGTGGAAGAAAAATGTGATTGTTTGAAAACAATTACGATGTGCATTCAACTTGAGCCCGACACTAGCTTTATCAGGCACTTCAGGCGAACTTATCAGAATACATAAGAATATAAATAATATTTATGTATTCATAAAGTGGACGATCAAAGTGCCAGCCAGCAACCCGAACCCGACACCCACTGACATTGTGCGCCGCGCAGAGCTGTGAAGCGGTCGAAATTGAAAACTTGCTGTTAAAAAAAACAAACTTGACAGTCGAGCTTAAAGCCTAAGGTGTAAGTCGAGGTGAAGCTTTAAAGCCCACCATTTAACATGAGTGTCAACGGCGGCCCGCGCGGTGGCAAATTGCGCTGCACACGCAAGCGAACATTGGCCATGATCGGCGGTGTTTTAATTTTGATAATCGCTCTGACTGTCGGCCTCTGTGTGGGGCTCAGCGGGAACGGGAGCGGCGTCAGCGAGGTGAGCTTTTCGAGTGAAATTTTGTGAGGTCAACCGAATTTGAATTGGACTTTTACCACCAACAGGAGGTGCCCGTCTTTAGCATTGATCACCAGGCAAATACATTTTTATTAAATGGAAAACCATTTCGTTATGTCTCCGGATCGTTTCACTATTTTCGAGCCCTGCCCGATGCTTGGCGAAATCGTTTGCGCACCATGCGAGCGGCTGGTCTCAATGCATTGGATACGTGAGTAGTACTAATGGTTTATAGTTGGTGGACGTGACTGTAGTAGAATGTGAACATAGGTCGTAGGACGTGACTGTAGTAGGACGTGGGACGCAACTGTAGTAGAACGTGACCAAGTCCAAGGCTAGGAAAATTATGAATCAAAATAATGAATAACTCTGATAACTGTGCCTCCAACAAACTGATGATAAACAACAACAAAAATTAAAGTAATTTAACAAATTAACAATTTAGTATTGGTTTGCTAGATCGTATATGCACAGGGCAAACTTTTAAGGGGCGCAATAAAAAATGTTGATGGGCCTCAAAATAGCTTCGTTTAAAAAGGAACTAGAGTTCCATTTTTTTCCAAGCGTCTAATATACTCTTTAAAAACAAATAAATTATAGATTTGTTTAATATTTAAAAGCTAATAAACTACTTTGCCAAGGGGACAGCTTGTTAAATACTTATGGGACCAGATATGGACTAATATATATTTTAAATTTCAAGACTTCAGGCGGACATAAATCGACTTAGCTCGAAGTGCCGATTATGAATATAAAGATGTATATATATAGACATTTGATTAGGTCTGAGTGAGTTCCGTCTGTCTCTTACAAGAATTGCCCCCTCTGTAAGCTTCTCTTGGAATACAAATATCTCTATAAATTATAGTCAATAAATTTCCTATCAACAAATTTAGGTGGTAAAAATATATATAAAAAATTTTACTATAAATACGGATAGACACTTCGTTAAAGTATAACTAACAAATGATTCGCTTACAGAAACATTTCGAATAATGAATTTGGCTAAATTATGTTAAGATCTCAAGCAAGGGATTAGTTTAGTCATAAAGCAAATTTTAACCCCGTGTTTCTAAAATTAATCTCCGCCTTCTCAGCTACGTCGAGTGGTCCCTGCACAATCCACACGATGGCGAATACAACTGGGAGGGCATAGCCGATGTGGTTAAGTTTCTGGAAATAGCCCAAGAGGAGGACTTCTATATTATACTACGGCCCGGACCCTACATCTGCGCCGAGCGAGATAATGTAAGTTGCATTCCGCAGGATAATCAAATGATTTACCCAACCCCTACAGGGAGGCCTGCCCCACTGGCTGTTTACCAAATATCCGGACATTAAAGTGCGCACAAACGATCCCAACTATATAGCGGAGGTGGGCAAATGGTATGAGCAGCTAATGCCACGTCTGAAGCATTTGTTCATCGGCAACGGAGGCAAGATCATTATGGTCCAGGTTGAGAATGAATACGGGGCGTTCAACGCCTGCGATCATGACTATTTGAACTGGTTGCGCGATGAGACCGATAAATATGTGGAAAACAAGGCATTAATGTTCACAGTGGATATACCCAATGAACGGATGCACTGCGGCAAGATTGACAATGTATTCGCTACCACGGACTTTGGCATCGATCGCGGTGAGTGCAAAAATAAAGAAATAGTATAAAGGAGCAGCGACGCACCTTTAATTCTTGACTTTAACTGCTTTATACCATCTGTGTCTCATTGTGCGCACGTCTTTCATTTGCCAGTCTACGAGATCGACAATATTTGGAAACTGCTGCGCGGTGTACAGCCCACAGGACCGCTGGTCAACTCTGAGTTCTATCCTGGCTGGCTGACCCATTGGCAAGAGACGAATCAGCGACGCGACGGTCAAGTGGTGGCAAACGCCTTGAAGTACCTTTAAAGAAACAGCTTAATAATCTTTAATTGTGCACTAACAATTGTTCCACTTACCACATTCAGGACCATACTCAGCTACAATGCCAGCGTTAATCTGTACATGTTCTTTGGCGGCACCAATTTTGGTTTTACGGCCGGCGCCAATTATGATCTGGATGGCAGCGTTGGCTATACGGCGGATATAACCAGCTATGACTACGATGCCGTGATGGATGAGGCGGGTGGTGTGACCCAGAAATATGATCTGGTTAAGCAGGTGATAGGCGAAGTGCTTGAACTGCCCGACATAAATCTGAGTCCCGCCAAGCGTTTGGCCTATGGCAAAGTGGAGCTGACGCCCGCTTTGGAGCTGCTCTCGGCGGAGGGACGCGCCGCCCTGTCCAAGGGCACACCGGTGACATCTGATAAGCCCAAATCATTTGAAGAACTGGATCAGTATTCAGGCCTGCTGCTCTACGAGACAACGCTGCCCAGCTTCGATCTGGATCCAACGCTGCTGCAAGTGGACGACCTGCGCGATCGTGCTCATGTATTTGTGGACCAGCAGCTGGTGGGCACGCTGTCGAGGGAGGCGCGCATCTATGCGCTGCCACTGAGCAAAGGCTGGGGCAGCACACTGCAGCTGCTCGTCGAGAACCAGGGACGCGTCAACTATGATCGCGCCAATGATACCAAAGGCATATTTGGCCAGGTAACGCTGCAGCTGCACAATGGCGGTGCTCTGCCGCTGGACAACTGGACGACCACGGGCTATCCACTGGAGGCGTACACCGTAGAGGCATGGCGCCAGAGGCAAACAGAGATGAACACTGCCCTGGCGCCATCCATTGCCCAGCAGCGTTTGCTGCGCTCTGGACCCATTCTGTATACGGGCAGCTTTCAGGTGACGGAGGTGGGCGACACCTATCTGAATGTCGCCGGCTGGGGCAAGGGTGTGGCCTATGTGAACGGCTTCAATTTGGGACGCTATTGGCCACTGGCCGGGCCACAAATAACGCTCTACGCGCCCAACGAGCTGCTCAAAGTGGGCCAAAACTCTTTGGTGCTGCTCGAGTATCAACGTTGCAATAAAACCCTCAACGGTGCGGAGCTGCCGGCCGTGCAGTTCGATGCAGTTGCTCAGCTGGACGGTCAGTCCAGTGAGGCACAAAAGTAGAATCCAGGCGTTGTCTTTTTTATTCTAATTTACAAGCGTTTCTTTATTTGTTTTATTAGAAGCAGTTATTGATTGACCACAACAACCTTGTCAAGCTATAATATTTGCTAATCTTAGCTGTTATTATTATAATAAACATTGCTTAATTAATTACATTTTCTTTAATTTCTTTCACTGACTGGCATTTTGTTAATCATAATTTAGCTCGTTATCAATTGACTTTTTCGGTATTCGGTAGCGTTTATAAAATTTGAGAAATTTCTCGACTTTTCTTTGTTTATTAAAGTTAAATTTTCTTTTACAAAATTTAAGTTCTTCCTTGTGAATTCAACTTTTTCGCTTAGATGTAGTTTTATTTCTCATAATTTTTGTTTTGCTTTTCTTAAGTTCTTGAAATATTGTGTTCATTGGCAAATGGAGATTATCCAGTAAAAAATACTTTGTCTTGAGGGATATTACCGTGTTCAGTGAATATCAATAAATTTGTAGAGTATTAAGTACATTGTGTTTAGAGATTCTCAAAAATGTTAGAGACTCATTTTGGTGTTCAAATGTAAATTCTTCGAAATACAAATAGAGGGAGGTTTTTATACAAAAATATTATTTTAAATTGGTTTTTTAGGGCAGTGTTTAAATGGGAGGACAAATAAAACAACAGATTCTAATTAATACAACAGAATATAACTCAGAATCCTATACGTTATTGTTTTTCACCTATTTCTGAGCCAATTTACGGAATGTTCTCCTTGGATTTGTTAATCTAAATGTGTTGCAAACCATTTAAATACGATCTTACACACTTATATATATATCTCGGATCTCATATCTCGGTCGTATTATAAATATTTTGTTCAATGTTAACGAACTGCCGAACTGATGAACTTGTTTACAAACATTATTTCATTGTGTGCAAAAGTTGTTTCGACTAATTCGAGAGCAGTCTTATTTTGAAAAACTCATAACGAACACAACTCACGTGCTTATTAGCTCTTATGCAATAATACAAATTTTAAATTGCTTAAATTTGCAGCACAGTGCAAATACGGAAATTAGCGGAAAAATAAATGTATTATGCAAAAATATATATATACACACATGTTATATATTAATTATTATATTTTTTTTTTATATATTTGCAAGCTCGTCAAAAATCTAATTAGCAAACTACTTTAAATTTTATTTTTTTTTTTAATATTTTTCATGTGCCCCCACGCAAAAGTTTCTGGTTTTTGTTCATTAGTGTTATAAAAAATACTTTTTTTTAGGTTTCATAGTGATAGATTTTGCTGCTTACATAAGAAATTACATTATGTGCTCCAAATACCCTTACAGACGAGCTGTTGACTTCAAGCTGAGCTTTCTTCATTTATCTACAGCTTCTTTTTTAGGCTAGATAACAAATATCTCGCTTTGTTGAAACATAAATTCTGTTTTGTGCGTTTTTCCGCTCTGTTAGGGTATTTAAGCTTCGGTGTGCCGAAGGTCTTTTTATTTTGCAATTGAAATATATATAAATTTTTCTTTCAGTTTTTTTTTTTTCGTCTCGTTTCTATACATTCACTAAAAATATATCACAGCTGCATTTCGAGTTAATTTTTTTTTTTACTCACGTTCGTCTTTTTTATGTAAAAATGTATAGAAAATGTTGGGTAAAACGAAGCCTACGTAAAACAGCAAAAAATTTGGCAACCTAGTTAATAGTTTAGTCAATGTCCATAGAGACGGAATGCGTTTGCGTTTAGTAGACACTCATATATATAGTTAGGTAATTATAGTATAGGTAACTAACCGAAGCGTAGATTTAGATGATGCATTGTGTTGTTATAGTTGTAGTTGTAGTTGTTGAGTTGTTGAGTTGTTTGTTCAGTTGTTGTAGCTAAAGTTCAATTGCCGCTAATTGTTGTTACTGTGATTGTGTCCTTACCTGTCTAGAGTGCTGTGGGGGCAGCGTGCGCCATTTGTCAGTGCCATTTGGATTTTTGTGTATAGATATCGGCGCGTAGGTTTTGCGCAAAGCAAATGCCCAGAATCTGTAAGCATATGAAAGCGTATAAAATAAATGCATTCGCTACAGATATAATATAAATCAAATAATCGAAAACAAACTGAGACCTGGAAAAACATAACACCGATAGCTGCCGTGGAAATGATAATTAAATTATGCTCAATCCATTCTTCGCCAGCCTGGACACAGCCTTTTTCATAAATAATCTTGGACAGCTCCATGCCCTGTGCCGTGAATAGAAAATCAGAAATCAAATCAGAACACAACTCAAACAAAGCAAATGGCAATAAACTTAATAATAATGATAACAAAAATATATAAATTGAGACACAAGCAAGACAATTATTCTTGAGCTCTGGCCAGCACCTGCGTGATGAGCAGGGCTACACAGGAGGCAGCCACGCCTATTAGATTCGTCTCCAGCCAATCCTCTCCAGCGCGCAAACAACCGCGCTCGTGTATATTTCTATCCACTGGCTGCATGCGTTTATTAATAAAAAGGATTAAGCCTGCAGATCACCGCAGAGAGAGAGAGAGAGAGCCATTAATAAACTTACATAGCCCTCCTTGCGCACATCGTAGCCGCATTGCTTGTTCTTGATAACCTCCTGCGGTCGCCGGCGACAGCAGGAGAAGGGCACACCACACGCCTCGCGGCTGCCGATTGCTATCGAGGAGCAATTGAAATAATTATTGCTATCCCAATCCTTGGGTCCATCAATGCCGCAACACTGCAGCCAATCCTCCTGTATCCAATCTATAAGATTCTGCTGATCGGGATCCTCGCGGTAGTGTTTGATAAAAGCTCTCAGGCCCTCGGTGGCCTGATCTTTAATCTATGAAAAATAAAATAAATCTATAGTTAGCTGCATTCATTGTAAATATATCAATAGCAAATGTAACTCTATTTCTTTCAAGTCTTATGCATTAAAAATTGAGATTCTGGAAAATAACGATATTCAGCTTCTGCCTTTTCGAAGCAATCATTGTATGTAAACATATTTTCTTTAAATTGACATTATTATAGTTAGTCTTTATATCAAATGTTAGTTTCTTGGATTTCACTTGGCGACAGTTTCATATGGAAGATATGCATGGAAAGAGTTCACTTTACAATTGTTCCTATGACAGATATTTAATATGGTTATCCGAGCCAACTATATGAACATAGTAAAGCTATTATGTACCTCGCTTGGTCAAAATATCTTGAAACATAAACAGGTTTCATTCAATACCTGGACTTTTGACTCATCCGTTCTCGGGCAGCTTTCTCTAAAAGATAAAGCCTGATCGTGCCCAATCGTCAATAAGTACTAAAGGTTTCTAAGCCAAGGTTTTTGTATATGTTATATGAAATTGTTCATATATTTTTTAATCAACATTTTTTGTAATTTTTAATAATTTGTTGACTCTAGTCGCAGGTTCACGCTCAAATGGGCTTTCAGAATTGCATGTTTTCCATGTTACAAATATTTCTTGGCACAATTAGCATACCCTTTGCTATATAAGGGTATTTGACTACACATACTTATCATGAAATGCTCGTTATCTGAGTAAAATCAACCGAAGAACTTGTTATGTACAAGGTTTGTTTACATTGGTTGGGCTAAATTTAGCCTTGCGCACAGCATACTAAGCGTAAGCAGCAACAACTTACCCAGCCTTTGTCCTTGAGCACAAATGCCAGCCCGCAAAAGCCAATCTCACTCAGTAGCAGCACGCTTAAGAATATGGCATACTGTAAATAAATAATGCATGAGCTTTACTTATTTATTGGGAGCAAATGATTTATAGTGCTGTACTCACGGCGCCCAAGAGGCAGGTATTTTCGCGCAGTGCACCCACGCTGCCCATAAAGCCCAGCATAAAGGTGATGCTGCCCAATATGATGAGCACAAAAGCGGGATCGAGTGCGATAAACGTGAGCTTGCTGATATTACGGAACATATCCTTTTCCATCCAGGCCCAAATGCCAATGGCGAGCACAAGAAGTGCTGTCAGCCAGATAAGTACATTGCTGGTGAAGAGCAAATATTTGAGGCAGCAACTGATTTCACTTGTTTCGCGACGATATTTGCGCACTGCGGGCATTTTGCGAGAGTCGATGGCGGCAACAACAACTCGACTGAATTATACTAAATGCTACGGAATGATTATGCTTGTATTTTCAACTATTACTAATGACTGGGTTCGTTTTATTTTACTAGAACGAAAAGCTGTGTTTACCAGCCACACAGATTTTCGACTTAGCAATTGTGCGACGGAAACAACAAATAAGAAAACCTGTAGGCTAGTGCGAGAAGTATGATAGTTGTAGCCTTTTTGAGTCGTATGTTATTAACATCACACTGTAAACTGCAAGCTTTAACGTGCCTCAGTCTCACTATGAGAGTTGCCACACTGTTTTTAGCTGCTACATGAATTTGCTTGCAACTACTTTATTTTACAGTATTTGTGACTATACTGAACATGTTGCTCCACCAGCTAACATCAATACTCCTCACTTAACAGCATTTTCGCATGCATAACAACAAAATTATTCAAGCAGTTAACATATTTTCTTGCCTACTTAACAGAATATACTCCCCCATTTGAATGAGCCTACATATTAACTTTGGTATTTTCTGTATGTATTCTTGCGGCATTGCGGTATTTAAATAAACACAATAGTTAGCCACACTGATTTTCATCGTCGTGTGCAGTTGAAAAGGCAGTAGAGAAGATCAGTACCAAGAAAATAAATATAACAATTGATTACAAATAAAATTTATTAAGTGCTGTGTGCGTAGATCTATGAGATATTTCGGGCAAGTGCACGCATACAAACAGCGTGCTCGGCCCCATTACCTATGACGACAGTGAGTTTAGTTTTCTTCCACTTCTACCCTCTGTGTATGCGTGCGTGTGTGAGTTTCGCTGATGGCTGAAGCTGAAAATGTTTAATTAGCAGGCGAAATATGGACAAAACGCATGCATATAATACGCCAAGCCCAAAACGTTGCAACAAATCAAGCGAAACCCTATGAAAAGTCTAAAGTTAATAAGTGCGCCCTGAAAAGACAATTGGAATCAACCCCCCGCCTTTTAATCAAAGAAAAAAAACTTGTATGTGTGCGGCTGCTGCTGCGACCACTGCTAGCAGCGCAGTTTACAAAAAAAAATTATAATAAAAAGTGAAAATATAGTTATGAAGGCAAACCTTTGCTGCAGATTTGATACAATATTTTTCGTGAATTTTCTGTGAATTTATAATAAGCTCACGCAAACAGCGAGGCAGTGGAGCAACGTTGTAAAGTGCGTTCTCAGCCTTTGGTCGCCATCATAGCAGAGACGTTGCCGTCGACGTCGCTGCCTGCCTCCTGTGCGTGCGTGTGTGTGTGTCTAGCGCAGTTAATCCCTACAAATATTGTGATCCCACGCTTGAAATATCAATTTCAATTACAGGCCACTTACTAATTATGCAAAGTATTTAATTTTGTAAAAGTACAGTGTTGCATTTACACACACAGGCATACACACATCACAGTATGCTTGAATATATGTATATTATACATACAAACATAAAACATTTCAATGTGCAATATGGTGGACAGTGCGTAAAAATCACAACGTCGACGTCAACGTTTGTTAACTGCTTACTATTTGTAGTAGACATTGTTGTTGTTGTTGCTGCTGCTGCTGCTGTTACTGGGCTTGGTTGGCAACGAAAAACAGTTTTGTGAGCAGTGTTTTCAGATGCAGCTAAGCCAAGTACATTAAATCAATTGCATTTGACAAAGTAAAAAGACATTTAGTGCTAATTTCGCTAAACATACATACATATTTATGTATGTATTAAGAAATACTGTTGTGTGCTTCTATACGTATACCTGTGCGCGCTCGTGTGTGTGTAAATTTGCCTGTGTGTGTGTGTGCTCGGTTGAAAATGGAAATTATATAAAACCCCTTTTTGTGTGCGTGAGGCGCTTTAGATTAAAACAGCATGCGGCTGTTAGGCTTTAATAATTTCCACAAAAAAAAAACTAACGATCAATATGGCAAAATAAGTTGTCGAAAATCGTTGGCAACTTGGCGAAGACTGTGAAATTCTAATAGTTGGCAAGCGTGCAGCGTTCACATTTTACCAATCAATAATTTTGCAAACGTCAATTAAAGAAAAAAAAAAAAAAAATTGTGGCAAGAAAAAATGTAGGGAAAATAAACATGCAGAGCATACGCACTCACGCACTCCCTATGCCATCTCTCATTTGTACATACACAGAAATACGGTACTCGTTGCTCTCACGCAGAGAGAGTCTGCCTGTCTGTCTGTCGTTCTGATCAAGGAAATGACAAAACTACACAACACTCACACTTTACTCTCGTGCTTGCTTACTCCCTGCTTTTTGCATTGACGTTGTTCTTTTTCTTTTTTGGGGTGGTGGTGGCAACGTCGCCCCACTTTTGTATGCGAACCTTTTCTGTAAGTGTGTGCGTGTGTGTGTGTGTAAACTGTAACAACAACCACCAAAGGCAAAGCTTTTTTGCCCAGCGACTGCTACGGCGGCTTCCTTTTGTCTATTTGGACGCTGGAAAAAAACCTTAACCGGAACTTTAACGTCGCTGCCGGCGTCGATGCCGACAGCGACGTTTTTCAATATGGCTTCTTTTACCATTTCAATTTCATCACACAATAAATATAAACATTTTGCATGTGCCCAGTAGTTTTGCCTGGAAAAACATACGCAATTAATGTTGGACGGCAAGAGCTTTTCCAGCAGCAGTAACAGCTAAACCAACGGTTTCAGTGCGTGCGCTGCTAAGAACAAATGGTTTTACAATTTTTCTCACATATGGATGTGCGCGTGTATGTACAATCATATATGTACGCATGTAAGTACGTACATATGTATGTGTATTGAATTGGTAAGTTCTGTTGCTATCGGTCGTTATGTTATACATGCACACTGAATAAGGTGTGTACATACTAACATACATACATGTATATATATTTATTTTATGTACATATGTTTTGCGCTCCACTTTTCTATGCAACAAATTCATATTTTCCTGTTGCACGATTCCAATATGCGCCACATATACACACAATTTATTTATGAAAACAAAAACAAAAAAGTGCGAGAATATTTATTGAACTCCTCTTGTTAGTTCTGTCAAAGTATGATGATGTATGGCGTGTGCCTGTGCTTGTGCTTGTGATAGTGTTGGTGCAGAAAAGAAAACTAAATAAAATAATATGCCATACGATGTACATTACCAACACTGCAATTGTGCGCTGCATCTAAACTTAACTCCCACTCGCACACATTTGCCTCGCTCACTGCTCACTCAAACTCTTTCACTCGCTCTCACGTCACGCCGCCGCAAGCCCAAAAAGCCACCCCCAACCCGCCGGCCCCTAGTGGGCATTAGGCGTTCTTTGATCACGTAGACGCGTTTGCTTGTCATCTGTTTGTGTGTGTGTGTGTGTGTGTGTATGTGCCATTTTTGCGATTTGCTTGCCACCCGGTGAAACAGTTGGCAACACTGGACAGGTGGTAAGATTTTCCATCAGATGATATGTTTATATATCCATCCAAATACAAGCATTCTTTATGAAAAGAAAGTTTTCCATAATTTGCCCGAAGTTTTGTTTTATCAGAACTTAACGAATTCGCATTAAAATAGAATATTTGTTTATCGATATTTGTTACTGTGCTAACAGTTTTCTTAAATGTTATGTATTTGTTTAAGACTTCATGAAAGTTTTGGCCTTTCAGTTTGTTTCTATGCGAACTGGCCACGCGTTCAAAATTTGATTTCAATATTGATTTAATTTGGCAGAGGGGGAGGCGGGCTCGGTCTTGTTGCAGTGAAATAATAATGCTTAAAAAAAATGGGATTTGTTTTCTAGTTGCTGAGGCGGCGTCAACAGTCATGACCTTACCTACCTGTCATTTTTTAGCCTGTACACAAAAAACTTGTTTACTAAATATGAATTATATACTATAGTATTATAGTTGTAAAAAGAGTCTACGACTTTGCCAATAAGAAATATAATAGAGTTCATCCGCGCCTGTATCTTTATTCGAAGAAAAAATCTCCACTAAACTCACCTGCACGGCCTCCTTCTTTAACCGGTTTATTTTTGTTAGTAACCAGAATTTTCCTTACATTTTCCATTGAATTTTTGTTTTGCTGTCGTTTTTCCTTTATTTTCCAAATATCTTTGGCAGGTAAAAAAACAACAGGAATTAAAGGTGTTTGCTTCAAAAAGCTTTTTATGTTTTTTTTCCAATAATTTTCATTAATAATAACTGAAGATATTTTAGATTATGTGGTCAGTGTTTTCTTTTAAAATTTCAAAATCTATTTTTAATTGTTATACAAGAAAAAGTTTTATAAAACTATATATAATTATTAATTCATGATCCAATGCATTTTCGTGCTTTTGAGTTATTTTTTTATCTGTGTCAAGTTGCGTGTGGTCTGGCTATTGAATGTCTTAAATGTTGAGGGTGCAAACATACATTTTGTATTATTGCAATTTTATTTTTATCAATATCAAAACGTACGCTGATAATGTAATCAAGCTTCAGACGAACTAAACCGACTACAAATGCACATGCAGGCAGTGCAAATGCTTGTATGTGTGCGTATGTTTTGTGTGTGTGTGTGTTTGTAGAAAAGTCTCCGATTTTAATGCCAGAATGGAACGACACACAACCCCCACGTTTAAACGACGAGAGGCGCTCACATACACACACACTAATTCTATAAATGCCGTTTACTGTTTTTGTTTACCTACCTGACTGCCAGTACGAGAGGGGTTGTGCGTTTCTGTGTGTGTGTGTGTGTGTGTTTACTCTCTTTCCCTCTCTCTCTCTTTCACTTATACTGTTGCAATTACAACTTTTCACTTGCGTTCGTTCATGCGTTTAAACCATATGAAAAAGGTTGGCTGGTTGTTCTTGGCGCAGTGTTGAGCAGTGTTCCAATACACACACACTTGTAACTCTGAGCTGTGCCTGTCTGTTGGTCACACTTGGCAGGCAGGCAGGCCGAAAACTAGAAAATGGCCATGTCTATTGAGATTGTGGATTTTTCAACCCCAAAACACAAACTGAAATGTATACGGGAGTCAATGAGTTACATTTACTAATAACTGTGATTTTGAGCGAGCAAGTAGAAAGTACATAGAACTAATAGACGCGTTTATTGAAAAATATATATACAAAACATCAGTCCAGATTTTAATTGTTGTTGACTAAACGGCATTCTATACTCATTTTGCAGAGCTGAACAA